CTGTAACAGTCGGTGCACAAAGGCACTCGGTGACCCTCAAGTTAAGGATCACATGCACCACCATCGTTAGAGGATTTGTTCCATAGACACTAGGGTTACATCCATATGGAATCCTTGGGGGTCAGTCAGTGAACTGCTGCGGTTATATCCGCCTACAACAAGCACCCATGTGTTGCACCGGTTGTCACAAACAACCTAACAAGTGAGATCAGTCACTGCCTTCGACAGGTCGTTCAACACTATGATAGCCTTACCGTATTATCGTGCCCTTATTTCAGAATAATACTAGGGCTACGAGTTTCTAGAATGGGCCACCATATGTGCTCATAAGGGTTCTCACATATCAGATTGGAAACACGTGATACCCTCGTCACGGTTCTACCATTCTAAGGACATATACAATACATATGCAATAATAATAATGATTTACGCGATATAGAATAAAATGCCTTTTATATTGATTAATGAACATTATTACAAAGAGTCAATCCAAAATATGATTGGCTCTAGGGATCTACTCTACAGTTTGCAAGCACTCAACTAACTTCCGGTCTTGAAGTTAACGATTGGATAAGTCTCCGGGATTATCTTTATTAGTAACCGAGATAGATTAACTCAAGACCTTTTGATGATATATTCAAAATCTTTGTTTTTCTGATAATATTAGAGATGCACTATTGCAGTTTAAGTTAAAGCCACGTCAAGTGATTATTCAGAAAGTGATATTTTTTTTTAAGGATTTTTAGAGTTTCAATTAATCTCTGTTTGCAAGCATGATTATACAAAAAGTTACAAACTTTGATAATTTCAATTTTAATATATTATTTAATTTAAAAAGTTTATTAAAGGGCCAAGTTCTATGGACTCACATAACATAAAATATCCACACTACAAGGTAAGCCCAAGCATGTAGGCCAAAAGTAACGCAGCTTAAACCAGATGAGAACGTCCAAGGCACTTCGCAGTCCTCCACTAAACCCTAACCAATAGTGGCGGCGAGGGTTGTCCTCATCAAATCCCATCGTCCGCTCATGAAATTCAAAACAAAATCATTAGTCCCGTCTCTCTTCTTTCAACTCCTGTTTTTTCTTTCGAAAATTCTCATGGCTCAAACCCGACCCGACTCTCCATTCGGATCCGCCACAAGACAGCGAGGACTCCTCTGCTCCGACAATGCCGCAACAGGAGCAAGAATCTCTTTGTCTGTACGTCGTCGTTTATTTTGGGGTCCGCGAGTCGGTGCCTGACCGGAGAGGCCTGTATAGAGAGAGCATGGGCCCATTGGGCCAAACTAGGCCGGCCAAGTTGATCGTTGCCCGATGGTTGACAATTCGGAGCTCCCGTTTCAATGCTCTGTAGAAAGTACGGTGCTGAGGCTGCGTATACGCCCATGCTGCATTCACGAATTTTTACTGAGACTGAAAAGAAGAAATCAAGAATTCACCACTTGTAAGGTAATTTTCTTATCTTTAATTGTTCTTAACTTTGTTTGAAGTTTCTAATGCTTATGCTTATAGGTATTGCCAGCGGATTTTTTATATTATGTATTATTTATTTATTTAAATCTGTGATCGGAGAGATAGTTTGATAGAAATGTGCATGGTTATATATTTTGTTTATAATTTATTTTAATAGGAAAAAATCAATAATTTGCATTTTAGAGAACAGACTCTCAATATTTCTGAATGGTGATTGGTGCAAGAAAGGATGGATGGATAATTGTGAGGATATTTATATTGCCGTGCTAAAGTAGGTATAATTGCAATGCGATTAAGCAGATTCAGGAAGGATTCATTATTATATAGCCTAATAATTTAGGTCTTTGAGTTGGTATCAAAGCTTATTAATCCATTCTAGAATTCTGTATCTTCTGATATTATTTCTTGAGAATTTGAGGGTGGCTGTTTTTGGGGTTTTGAATGGTGCAAGTTATTGCAGGAGGATCGCCCATTGTTTGTCAATTTTGTGCCAATGATCCAGACACATTATGGATGCTGCACGGAGAGTGGAACCTTTCTGTATTATGTTGACATCAATTTAGGGTAATGTAATTTCTCCCCCATTATAATTAACATTTACTTGGTTTTGATTGGATGATCGGTCATTAGCTGGAAAACTGTTATACTTAATTTTAATGAGCATATGGTTAAGAGAAATTAATTTTTAAGTAACAGTTTTGGATGAACCACTTATCAGATGAAAACAATATGCAATCAATTGTATAGGGAAGGATCAAAAGAGAGGTATAACCTTCATAAATATGGTTTTTAAGTTTCAATATCACAGTAGCCTGTATTTTAATGAAAAGGTTACATTTATTAATTGAAAATTGTAGTTTTTTGACACATCACTTTGTTCGCACGGGACAGGATAAAAGTAGTGGAGTGTACTATTTTTTCTAGAACTCATGTTTGGCATAGCACAATATTACTTATAAGCCTTCATTTAGTCCCTTTCTTCTGCAGTGTTGTACTATTCTGCAGCGCTGCTTGTGTCCTAATTTTGGTTTTATTATTTTTTAATTCTTAATTAACATTATAAACTAAAATTAATATTTATTTTAATATGAATATTGAATTTTTCATAATTTTATCTATATTAGTTTAACCAGAAGTCGAGAATTTGTTATAAATTTGTCCGCATAAAGTACAATTTTATACATAATCCAGTCCTAACAAATCTCTTCAATGCAACCAATCCATTCCCCCGAGAAATAATTCCAGTACAATGTACCAAAAATACCCCATATTCCATATGTATTCTTTCACAATGCATACTAATGTAATTTTAAGTCACGACATTGAAGGGCTCGAAAAGAACAGCACGGTTTGATTTCTTCTTTGTACATGCCCAGTTATTCGAGCTTGGTCTTTTGGTTTTTATAGTTTTGGTGGTTTTACTTAAAATTTCTTTGATTTGTCAACTGTTCATGTTTTAAAACACAAATAGATTTTTAAGTTTTCAACATATAAATATAATCTTACAGGAGATCATTCAATTAAGGCTATTCCCAACCAAATGGTTTACTTTTATAATTACTGGTAAAACCATAATCATCTATCTAATCGGAAATTTTTATACTCTCAAATGTCAGATTAGAAGAGAAGACGTAAAAAATGAAAGAAGAAGAAAATTAATTTCTTGTGAAACCAACCAACTTTCATATAGCAACTTTGTGATTATAACATCGGCTTCTTAATGATCATAGGAAATTAGAATGCACTTAACTGAAGTGAGCAATCTTTCCCAAATACTTTTCGAAAGTGATTACTTGACTGTAAGTGGTATTTTGCTGTTTACAGTGTTGTCTCAGCGTATTGCTAGCGACGGGTAATTATGGAGCTTTTTAAGGACAACTTCCCTGGTAAAGTCGCTAGTAGAAAAGTTGGCTCAGAACCTTCACGTTCCTGTCTCAGCAAGATTCGAGTATTTGAATTACAAGATACCACTCAATACGCTAAGATGCTTGAGGATGCTGGGGGCTCTCTGTTAGCTGTCATGGCCGAACAAGGGATGAGAAAGATGGGAAAAAAATAGAGCTGACTGGAAGCCATAAAAGCTGTTAAAAAATGCTTTAGAATCCCTGTCTTGCCAATGGGAATGTACGGCACTGGAGATGTGCAGAATGTTTGCAAGAGACTGGTTGTGATGGGGTGCTTTCAGCCGAGTCTCTCCTCGAGAATCTGCTCTTTTTGCTGGATTTCAAACTGCTGAATGGGCAGTGGGAGTGAAGAAAGCCATAAAGATCGAAATCTTGATCAAGCAGAACTATTGGTGGAGTATTTGAAGCTTTGTGAAAAATACCCGGTTCCTTGGAGAATGATCCGTTCTCAGTTCACAAATTGATGGGGGAATGGTTCAGGATTCAGCCAGTGTCAGAGAGGAACTAAATGCGCAATCATACTGACCTTTGAATTTCTTTACGGTATTGTAGATCGACGAGAGAGCTGGGTGTAAGAATTCCACTTTATCAGAAGGATACTCATGTGGGTAAAATTTCAGCAGATGGTTTGGCCTCGTGAACACACCATGCAAGTAGTAAAAACAAGTTGCAGGTGCCCCCAGTCTTTGTTTCTGGCAAAGACCACAACGGGTTTGTTGCCAACTCTCAGATTTTTTTGGTCATGAAATATATATATATTTTTAAATTCCAATTGTCAAAGTGATTTGATTATACTAACTGACATATCCAGTAAACAAAAGTAAGAATGATCAAAGAAGGCTTGTGGTAGTTGTACTAGATTTGTTGTATTAGTAGATATTGTTGTATTATCATCATTAAGATACTTGTATCACTTTCGAAGGTAATAATTCTTGTCCAGAGCAAAAATTACTCTGATTAAATGATTTTTTGTTTTGTCTTTTATAAATGTAATACGTAAGGAATATTATTTTAGGTTTTTTTTTTTATTTTTATATTACAAATTTTAAGGTTGAAGATACTTAAAAGGTGAGGCAATGTTCAACTGGAGTCTTCTGATATTAGTATTAAAATGGTCATCGTTCGGCTGTTCATGACACGTCTTGTAATTGCAAGAGGCACTGTACTATCAGTGTGTGTGTGTTATGCATGCCACATTAACTTTTTCGTAGAGAGAAAATGCCAGCAGATTAAAGATCAATGTTCGGTTTGTCCGACTAATTATTCCGAGAACTGCTGGAGAATGAAAAGAATTAAGCCGCAAAATTCTATGATGAAAACAACTAGATGAAAATTAAATCAAATATCAATCAGTTTGGTATCAATTTCCATAAACAGTTTCCATGGCCTCGCATTGTAGCTGCTTGAGAGTAACACTAGCTAATAAAGGCCAATGCGAGGATCCAAATTCCAGATAGATTAAATTACACCATTGAACCAGAATAATTCAACCGTTGATACAATGTATTTACAAGATTCAAACTCAAACATAAGCTCTACATGACAAGTTCGTGGTAACTTTGCTTCTAAAGTTCTCCATAAACAGCTTCTATCAAACTTTACAGTTCACCAGTCCCGTTTACAAACTCCAGAGGCTCACTGCTGTATCGTAGTTGGTCTGTTGATGCAAAAAAAGGGCACAAAAAAAAAAAAAAAAAAAAAATTCTGAAGCGCCATTGCAATTTTAGTCAGAAAAAGAAGTTATAAGAGCGAGATATTGGTTCACCTCATAAAAGTGTGCTATGCAGACCCGATATTTTGGAGAATTGTTGATCACTCGATGCAGGGTTGACTCGTACAAACCATTGGAAAATATCTGCAGTACCATCAGGCTTATTAGATGTCATAAGAAACAGAGAGATAGGGGAAGGTTTTCGGGACAAAACCATTTACCTTCAGCATGTCACCAATGTTGCATACAAATGAACCAGGTAAGGGAGGAGCCAATATCCATTCCCCAGACCGGTTTCTCACCTTCAACAAAATATCCAAATTACATATTTGTGGAAACTAAGGCAAAAGTTTCATATGAACATAGAATTAAGCCTCCCAACAGAAGTTGAAACTGCCATTAGAACCTTTACTATTATAAAGACGATAAATGAAGTTGAACGGAGGCTAAAGGAAACTTTGCAGCTAGCAGAGATTATGATTAATTAAAGCATGGTAGGTTGTTTTAAGGCATTGTAAGTTTCAAAGAAAACAAATTCTTATGTTCTTTTTCTTCATCCTTCTTTGTTTGACATGCCAACCAACTCCTCTGGCAAGGAAGGAGATATTAAAGAAACATATCAAACTTAAAGCGCTACTTTTTAGTTTTCAAGGTTGATTGTTAAAATCTTAATCGATTCATGCTCAACACTATCAGAAACTTAATAAACACTACACATCCAAAACAGAAAACTAAGTTACTAGCTGTTGTCAGCTGGCTCCTAGCATGACAAATGAAAACATTTTAAGTCTATGCCAAGCCCAAGAAAAGAAAGAGACAACAGATAATTGTTATGCTATTATGGTGAATCCTTGATGTTTAAGGAGGTTGAACATAGAGTGAAAAATGGGAGTATGGGACCATACCTGAAGAGCCGTTATATCGTCATCTTGATTAACTAATGTCAGCAAACCTGTTATGCAACATTACATATTTACTGAGATATATGTATTAGATTTTTGAGACCAGCGATCGTTTCAACTTTGAAAAGTATTTACCATAGTCAGTGTGAGCTCCGCTGAAGTATGGCCACAATAAAAACATAAGAAAACATGAAAAGAGAATATATATGAGCCTCAGTAATGCAAAGCAAAGGAAAAAACACCAATGGCAGCATTGTTGCAATACCATCCAATGTCATTTTCTGGCATCCCATGGCTATTGGCAACACCTGGGTAACCAATAATACGATACACCCAAAATGCATCTCCTGCTCTTTCACCTTCAAATTCATATGGTGACCCACCCAATGCTAGAGCGATCCCCCGCATAATTTTTCTTGAAAGGTCTGGCAGCATCAAGAACCAAAAGATGCAATAAACTTTCTGCCAGAATTAAAGACCTAAGACACACAGAGAGAGAGAGAGAGAGAGAGAGTAATCCTGCTATGGAAAGCATGCCTGTGCAGAGGTTGATGTACTCCTCCATCAGTTCTTTAAAGTTAGGAGGATTAAGTGGCCTGCCAAAAGCATCAGTAGCAGAAAAAAAAAAAATGTTGTTAGCATTACCAAAACCATATCCTTTCAATAACTCTAGATTGAAGGCACTTGCTGAATTTAGAGCTTCACAACCAGCAAGGAGATTCTAATATATGAAGGGTGGTAGAATAGTGCCAAAGGAATTAAGCAACTTAAATAACAGTATGGAGCACAACTTACAGAAGCTGAAAACTCTCATAAAGAACAACAAAGTAGAGCAATTGCGAGGTTGAAAATCCTAGACATATATGATGTAATTCTGATATGAATGTATACTGTCTACTTATTAAAAATTAGGTGTTCTATGTGACCAACTTTTAAGGTCAAGCAGACCCCATATACATTCTGGGCCTACCATGCAAGCTTACAGAAACAGAGCTCTATAGCTGAGGAACTTTCACTATAGAAACATTACTCATGGGCACAGTACTGGCAGGATAATTCTGCTGGAATATGGTCAATAAGAGATGAGCATATAAACTTCGTAATATGTTGTCATCGATATAATAAGTGTAATGATAATATCCAGAAGATCTGTTTTCATGCATATTCTATACAAGAAAGTTTAGAATTCAAATCTAGTCAAGGAAACACTGATTTCAACATACCACTGATTACACCCTTCCATGGGTTTGCCAAGAGCCCCATACATCCCTTGTTTTATTTCTTTATAGCACTGTTAAAGCAGAAGAAAAAGATAACAACATAAAGAACTAGATGTATCACCAACTATAGTAATGATCACAATGATAAAAATAACTGCCATATCAGGAGCAAATTTAGCCCTCTGCGTGCTATTTCAGAGATAGTAATTCACAATAATTAGACACATGTGGGGAAACATCATAGCCCATGAAAACCAAAATTAAAATTACATTCAAAGCAAGCTTATGATAGATGTAGCTATGATTTCAATTCATCAGTACCATTCCAGATATGTGTAAATGTACAGTAGAATAAGGTAGTATAAGTACAATAGCTGAAAATCGATGATAATCACATTTAAAGAATACCATGACATGGGTTCTTGCTAAGAACCTGGGAGAAATGTACAGAAAATTTTCCACAACATGGCGTCTCAAACATGATTCATTTTGCCCTTTGTCTAGATACAACATGCCTGATGCCTTATTTTAAAAAATGTCTTGGTCTAAAATTGTCTTCAAACATTCTAAAAATTTGCACAAGAATACACAGTAAGAAGTTCTGCCATAAAGTTCTATTTTACAATATCTACAAACATGCATCAAGGAGAAAATGTTACTAAATGACCCCGGATACATGAAAACTCGTGAAGTGTGAAAATGCGCAAAACTTACATCAATAGCCTCATGCATATCAGGGATGCCTTTGGTGATATTTTCTCCAATTCTCTGATATCCCCTGCACTCAAAATATGCTCTCACTTAAGTAAGTTCTGATTTAAAATAAAATAAAATAAAAAAAAATTTGGCTCCTATTCCATTAAGCAAACCTGTAACCAGCTTGTGGAGTCATCTTGATCTTGAGTTTTTCTTCATACGGATGATCAAAGAACTGGTGTGAAATATTTTTGACCTCTTTGATGAGGGACTCAGGAATACCATGGCCCTTCTGTCAATTGCAAACAACACAATATATTTAGAAAATATAATGACAATTCAAATTTCTGCAGCGAAGCCTTAGTTTTGTTGGAGCACATAGAAAACACAGGTCACAGAAAGAAGAAACAAACATCTCTCTATCAGCAACTTATGTTTGATATCAATTACAAATTATTTGGTAACTCTATTTCAGCAAAGGAAAAACAAACAAGACTAAAAGATTACCACATAGAAGAATCCAGCCTCTCTGCAAGCCTGATCCAATTGCGTAACAACTTTACGTACACCGGGGTCTTCACCCATGTTTGGATCATCACAGTTGGCCAACAATGGACTAATGTCTACATCACACCAAAAAAAAAAAAAAAAAAAAGAAATTATGAGTTGAGACACACACGAAACAATCCAAGCCCTCGGGAAAACTTACTTTTAAGCAATTATTAATCTTCGGATAAGTAAACTGAGTTTTTACTCAAATTCACAAACATAGCAAAGCAAAATTCCACGATTTTTAAATGCTAATATTAAAGAATGAAGCCAATTTTTACTACTTCCACCCAAATGATGATGAAAATTGAGATAGACGTTTAAATTAACGTAGAGTTGAGATAGAAGAAGATGAATTGAATAAAGAGAGTTGGTTACCAATGACGGGGATGGATTTGAAGTCGGTGGCCATGTTGATGACAATGATCTTTTCGTATACCTGGCTGGTTGTGTATATACTAAATAGAAGCTAGAGAGAGAACACTTGTTAAGAAGAAAGACATGCAATTATTATGAATGTTCTTTCTGCTTCTGCTTTTGCAAATTGCAATCAATGGTGGGTCTGTTACTGATATATTTTCATTATCCGGTTGTGGCATGATAGTTTTTGGTACAGTGGGTGTCGACGTCTGTCTTTGTCGTTTTTAATGTTGCAGGATGACGTTTAGCTTCGCCGGTCCAAGAGACCCGGCCCACTATTATCGTAAAATCTTGCAGTTGAACCTAAAACCCGCCCAGTTCTTATAAATAAATTATAAAAATAAAAATGACGAAATTTTTGTTAAAAACTACACATGGGCAAAGAGTTTGGAATCGTACCCGTATATAGAAACTATTTTCAATCATTAATGAAAAATCCAATTTTAGCATCCTTTACAATGTTATGAATAATACGAGAAAACGACATATTCTCGCCTGAATTTTAGCGAAATCCCAAGTTGGTACCTCTTATTGTATTTATTTCAGATTCTCACTCTTAAAGTAACGTCGTTTCTTTTATTTTAACAAATTCGCAAGTTTTCATTATAGTGTGGCATATGTTAGTACGTGAAAGTATATCAACAATTTTTTTGGCAGAAGATGAGCTCATGTTAGCACAAAGCATCTCACGTTAATAATGTCCAAACTGTCGGTTTTTGGCTTTTTTGGACCGATTTTAAAGTCCAAAATCACTTTTGAGACCACCGTTGGACTCCTCACAACCTCTTCTACAAAACTCATATCTTCACTTGCCAACTTCACTCACAATTTCTGACTATCTCCAACAGTCACTGACGATGTTAGTTTAAGGGTGAGAATATGAAATAAATGCAACTAGAGGTATTGACTTGATATTTTGTTAAACCTCAAGTGGGAATTTGTTGTTTACTCAAATAATACAGTTAGATACTTAAGATAGTATGGAATAGATTTGCTGCTAAATCCTTATTCTATCATACAAAGTGGAGTATAAACATAAAATACTCAAGTATTGTCTTATTGTATTTGTTTAAATGTGTGTTCTGTCAATTAAGTTTTAAGTCACAACAATAAAAAATGTCCGGTAAATAGCTTTAAAATTGATTAAATTTGAAGCTAATTATAAAATAATCAGATTTATAAAAGGATTCTAAAAACTACCTTTTGAAACAAATTAATCTATAAACTGATTTTACATTGTAAAATGTTAAATATACCCACACACAATTATTCAAATTACAAAATAAACATTTAATTAACTGAATAAATAATTTGACCTCTTTCATGAGGGATTCAGGAATACCATGGCCCTTCTGTTAAAAAAATAATAAACGACACCTCATGTTCTGTTATGTATGAAGTTATAGTTTTGTTTGAATATTGAGGAATCCAAATGCCTTCATTCAATCGATTTAAAACCAGAACCATAAATATTTTCCTTTCAAAGCATGTTCATTCAACTTTACAATACACAAGAAGCTAAAACCAGCATTGACACTTCTATCACCTAAAAGAATCCAGCCTCTCTGCAAGCTTGTGTTTAGATTTTGAAGTCAAATTCAATCCAAATTAGTATTGCATTAAGATATGAGTTTTCCTAATATGTTTTCATGTAAAATTGTTTTTCTTTAGGAATGTGAATGTAATTGTATTAGAAATTAAAATAAAATTTCCATTAAGATATGAGATTAGAGTCCTATTAGAAATAATATCTTATGTATTACCTATAAAAAGATGTTAAAGTCTAGAGTTAGACGATTGAATACTGTTGATATATGAAGCACAAAACGGTAACGTTTCTGCACAAATATCACTAATCAATACACTAACGTTTCACTGCAAGTAAGATCAAATCTTAGCCACTGAAATAAAGCAGATCCAGCGGTCAGGATTAGCTCAAGAGGTCAAACTATATAAAGAGAGTCTTTACATAGAACTAAAAATTTTTGCTGCTTCTCTTTTGCGTGACAGATCTGGTTTTTTGCCCTTTGTGTTGAGAGTTTGTTTCAATCTTGAGTGAGTTATGAATATGTGTAATCCTAGGTGAGGGCAGGTTGTTCCTTCAGGTTTAGAGGGACTGGGTTAGGTCATCTCTAGGGATTTTTCAGGTTTGTGTGAGTGGGTTTCTTGATTGAGATTTGGGTAAATCGATGAAAGCTTTCTGTAATCTGTAATAACGTTTTATTCCTAGTGCAGTGAGCCCCAAAATTCCTGGAGCTCAACGTGGATGTAATCTTTCCTTTGTGGAAAGGTGAACCATGATATATTTGGTGTTTTTGAGTTGATTGTGTTTTGATTTGGTATTGTGTGTGTTGTCTGTGTTCTTTGTGCATGTGATTAGGCAGATAATTGATAGTGAATTTTTATAACAAATACGATAGAAGACAAGACCAAAATTAGAGAATGAAAGTCACCAAAGAGAGATTTAGTGAAAACATAGTAAATTCTGCAATGGCAAAGTATGCATAGAGATCCATACAGAGAGTAAACCATTATAAATTGTGTGTTTGTGTGTGTAAGGTATTTATTTGTCATTTATTCGTTTGTTTTCGTTTTCAGAGTGTCTTAAGCGTTACTAGCAAAGTTTTAACCACCAAAAAATCACTTAAAAGAGAAAGCAAAGTAATAAAGTATTTAGCTTCACATACATTTTTGAATGATGACTCAGTAGAGTCATAAAAAGACAAACAACGCTAACATTTACTATTAATTTCAAAGAAAATGAGCAGATCGACATTAAAAATGTCAAAATGTGTGTAAAAACGGCGATGGATTTGAAGTCAGTGGCCATGACGTCGTTGCTGTTATAGTGTTGAATCCGTCAATCTCCTTCAGCTAGTGACTGATATATACATTTTTATTTATATAGACTACAAGAATCAAGCTCCAGCTCTCCTGTAGATTTTCCATATTCGATTTGTTTTAAAATCACGTGGTTTATTTTTGTCTCTCTCGTGCAGGGTGAGTTGGATTTAATCCGATTCAGGACATGAATTTGCTCACGCGTTGTTTCTGGCGAAGTAATAAAGTAAAGTAAGAAATTGTGGTCATTCGTAATCTTTGAATTGTTATGTCAAACGATTTGGTTAATTTTAAGATTAGTGGGAATCTTTTTATGCAATGACTATTGTATTACTCTATTCGACGTCTACTCTTTTATAATTATTGTAATCCAAAGTCATTATTTATGTAAATATGTAACAATATAATAAGATATTCAACATAAAGAATTAATATTTTATACTGTCACTTTATAAACTTTCAATATATTAGTTGTTGTAACAGTATATATTAGCATCAACCACTTTTCCAAATAGGATGTTAAAACTTCTTCATATTTTTTTTTTCTTAATGTTTGATCCTGCATTAGTTAATTTTTGTTTTCTTTATTCTCTCCTGTTGATGTGAAAAGTCGCATCAACCAAAGATATTCAATCAACCTCGAAAGAGGCTAGGTAAGATGTGCGTGTGGTTATTGGTAACCAGTGAGGTCAATAAAACGACGTATGAAAGTAAAGAATAAAATATATTTTTATAGTAGTTTGGTGTTATAAAGACCAAGCATACATCCACTTTTTTTGTTATTGCTTAGAGGTGTTACAAAATCAAATGAGATTACAAGGGAAATTGGCGCGAGCTAAATGAAGGACATTTAACTTTTGTGACCTTCTCTTACTTAATGCTCTTTTACATGTACGAGTGTGTTTTCTTCTTGAACTTTACTAAACTGAAATTTGTTCTTTGAAACGGTGGCTGTGGACTCCTTTTATACTTGGTTCGTTTGACAGTGGTTGAGAATGGGTGTTACGGGGTTGCTTGCATGCATAATTCCCCTTCATTAGGATCTAAGTCAGTAATCCTCATGCTTGTGATAGATCAGGCCATAGTAATGATAGCTTAACCCATGCTTATGACAATGACCACCTTGTTTGAGAAGGTAAGCACCGATGGACGACACATGGGAGGATCCTGGCTATTGGGCTTTGATGCAATGTTTTAAAACCCGGCCTAGCCCGGTCGGTTGAACCAGGACTCGGCTGATGAGCCGGGCCGAGTGAGGCTCAAAACTGTTTATATCAGTCTGCCCATTTACACCCGCGATTGGACCATCGATCCAACCATTATTTTTAAAAAATCCAGGTCAACTAATTTATAAAATTATAATTATATAAAAATATAGAATTAATAAATTATATATTGAACTGAACAGTAAAAGCCCCTTATCCAAAGCAAATATCAACCCCATTTTCATGGCATTTCCCACCATTTGGTCTGAAAGTCTGAAAATAACCGCCGGAGTCTCCCCTTCACCGTCAAATCTCGTTGCTGTAGCCTTCACCGTTGAATCTTATCGCTGCAGCCTTCACCATTGAATCTTGTCGCTGCAGCCTTCACCGTCGAATCTTGTAGTTGCAGCTTTCACCGTCAACTGCTTACTTCATCGTTAGTTGGGGTACTATGAATCTCCTCCCATTTCGTGATCTTCTCTGTCCTCACACACTCTTCTTCACCACCGATCTATGCTGTTCATCCATCGTCGTCAATCTTCTTGGAGCTACACAGTCGATCTTGTCTTCTTCTTGCCTACGGACTGTCGCCCCTTCCCGTCACATTGCTTGAATCTCAACTCTTCATAGTTGCCCTATTCACAGCCGAGCTTCACCTCCCCGATGGTCAACTCAACTGTCAACGCCTCAACGATAGCTCATCTTCACCAGTAGCAGGTAGCTGTCACGGTGTCACCTTAATGATGTACATTCCACTATTCCAGCAGATTGTATATAGATCATAGATGCCATGTATATAGATAATAGATGCCATTACATTTTAATAATTTGATTCAATTACATTTAATAATAAAAGCTATTAAATAATTGAGGTAATTTGTGGTGGATTTCAATTAGATTGTGGCCATACTGCTTTGTTGACGTCAATTTTTTAGGAGTTTGGGCTAGAATTGGGTTACTCAAACCTTTTAGGGTGGGTGATACTGTCTGAATATTGGTTGAGACTCTGGCTAATAGGGTAGCTTTTCCGACCGATGCTCAAGTTAGCTTCGTATCTCTCGTACTTGGATTTTAGGGATAAATGCTAATTTTTATTATAGGAAAATAAAATCTTTTGGATGAATATTCATAGAGCAATCTCGCCAAAATT